TGTAAAATGAGCCATTTTAATGTTATTTGCAGTAGAATAAATAGTTCTCTGGATAACTGCAGACATGTAAGCTGTGTGATAGTACTCAGAAACATGACAGTATAGAAGTTTTCCTGATTAGTGCATAGTCTTCAATAATTATACGGAATTACTTATATGAAACTGCTGTCATACCAGTAAGGCTGCATATATGCGTCATTCATTTTCAGGATTGTTGGTAACCTGGGTATATTTTCCCCAAATAACCTTGCCTCCTTGTATCACAAGGCCCAACTCACTCTTGTTCACCTCAATGACAGTACCTTTGGTAATACCACCCAAAGTTGTATAAAGTGGGCATGAGGGATTCTTCTTTACACCAAGTATTGGCAGGCAAAAGGTGGCTTTCAGTTCAGGACTTGTTACATGGGCCTTCTTGAAACATAAGCCCATTGGCCTAATGAATCTTTCATATGTAGGTGGTTTTCCAGTAAAGCCATCTCCAACAAAGCTGACTTTAGTAACCATCCTCTTCCACTCTTCCTTCTTTCTCTTTCCTGTTAGAATAACTTTTAATACCTCACTTTTTCCCTGAGCACTAACTTTGGGCAGAAGGACTTCCCATTTTCCCGCTTTCTCTTTTCATTTTAGTTTAATCATATTAGAAAGTAATTTAGCTGAGACTGTCCCTCTCTGTCCAGTAGATAAACAAGTGCGGCTCCTTTTCATCATCCTATTGTTTGGTGTTTCTTTTCATAATTCTTTTGTTTGGTGTTTCTCTTTTCATGCATCTTGATTGTCTTTTTCATTTGTATTTTCTTAGCATGGTGCTGTTTATGGTAGAGCTTAGCCTTCAAAACAGTCATCGGTTTTGTCTTCTTTGAACGTTCATGTTCATTAGCCTCTCAACTTTTCTTCTTTTTTTCTCATGGTAATGCAAATGACATCCATAGCATTTACAGTTAAACTAAATGTATTCATTTTGTGGCATGGTTATGGCCACAGGGCCACTGGATGTAGTCCCTCGGGTGCGAAGAAGCTCTCAGCTTTTGGGTCTCAGATTATCTATTTCTTCTTGATTGAGGCGTGCTAATTTCTAATTTCTGTCTTTCAAGGAAATGGTCTATTTCTTAGGTAAGTTGTAGAATTTATGGCATCGAGTCGTTTGCAGCATTATCTTATAATCATTTTATTTAATTGTGGAGTCTGCAGTGATGTTTCCTCTATCATTATTTCTATAGATGATTTTTGTTCTTCATTCTTTTTTTGTCTTGATCATTGTGTCTAGAGTTTTACCAAATTTATTAAATTTTTTAAGAAGAATAAGCATTTGGCTTCACTAATTTCTTCTCTAATAATTTTTATTTCCTTTCCTGTCCTTTTTTGGGGTTTAACTGTCTCTTCTTTTACTTATTTGGAAATGTTTGAAACATTTTTTTCCCTTTTAACATAAGAATTTATTCCTCCATGTATGTCCAGGTTTCTATATGATGAGTCCAAATAGTGTCATACTTCTGCCCGAAGAACTTACTTTAAATTCCTTGCATTTAAGGTCTTCTGACAATGAAGTCTTTCAACATTTATTTGCTTCCTCCCTCTCTCTTCCCTTCTTCCCTTCTCTCAAACCATCTCTCTTGCTCTCTCCCACTCTCTTTTCCTCTCTCCTCACCTCTCTCAGTAAAAAAAAATAATAATAATAAAAAAAAAATTTAAAAAAAACAACATTTATTTGTTTGAAAGAGTCATTATTTTGCCTTTAATTTTTAAATTTTTATTGTTGAGAGTATTACAGATAATTCTCCCTTTTTCCTTCCACCCAGTTCCTGCCCTGCCCCAGGCCTTCACCACCCTATTGTCTATGTCAAATGGGCCTTTTTTTTTTAGACATAATTTCACTGCATATGGGATCTTCAGTTAACAGTTTTTTTTCTGTCAGTACTCTATATAGATGTCATTACAAAGTCTACTAGCTTGTGTGGTTTCTGAAGGATAATCTATAATTCTTATCATTTGTTTCTGTACATAATGTGTACTTTTGCTGGCTGCTTTTGTAGTTTTCTCTTTATCTTTTGTTTTTAGCTGTTTAACTATGATGTGTGTGTGTGTGTGTGTGTGTGTGTGTGTGGTAATTGTTTTACAAAGGATTCTCTGAGGTTCATGTATCTGTGATTTGGTGGCTTTCATTAGTTTTGGAAAATTCATGGCCACTGTTTCTTCAAGTATTTCCTCAGTTCTGTATTCTCTTTCTTTTTCTTCTGGAGCTCCAGTTTTACATATGTTAGATCAGTTTAGCTCTTGGATGCTCTGTTTTTGTTATTTTTTTCTGTTTTAGTTTGGATCATTTTTATTGACTTATTTTCAAGTTTACTGATCTTTTGTTCACACTCTTGCAAGCCTACTCATGAGTCCATCAAAGAAATTGTTTATCTGTGATGGCATGTTTTCTATTTTAGTATTTGTGTTTGACTCTTACAGTTTCATCTTCAGCTTTAATATCCCACCTGTTTATGCATGCTTTCCACCTATATCTTTTATCTTAACAATTTATTTATTTATTTATTTGAGAGAGAGAGAGACCTGTTGTTCTACTTATTTATGTATTCATTGCTTGATTCTTGTATGTGCCTTGATCAGAGATTGAACCCACAACCTTGGTGTATTGGGAGGATGCTCTAACTGAGTTACTCAGCCAGAGCCTACCTTAATAATTTTAATTATTTAAAAGTCTGTGTCTGATGATCTCATCATCCTTTTTTCTCTGAATCTAATTGTATTGGTTATTTTATCTCTTGACAATAGGTTGTTTAATCCTTGTTATTTCCCCCAAAGTCTTGTGGCTTCAAATTGTATTTGTGCATTCAAGTGGTCCTGCCTTTTTTTTTTTTTTTTTTTTTTTATCCTCACCCGAGGATATCTTTCCATCTTTTGTACAGATAGAGTGGGAGGGAGCGAGAGGAAGGGAGAGAGAGAGAAACATCGACGTGAAGGGACACATCGAGTGGCTGCCACCCGCACGACCAACCAGGGCCGGGGACAAACTGCAACCGAGGCATGTGCCCTTAGCAGGAACCGAACCCGGGTCTCTCTGGACCGCAGGCTGACGCTCTAACCGCTGAGCCAAACTGGCCAGGGCGGTCCTGCCTTTTCTGTCAGACCATTAGTGTTGGGGAATTAAATCAATCAAATCAGGAGTTCAGTTAGGTTTGGGTGTTGTTGTTTTCATTATTACCTTTAGTGTACCACAGTCTTCAAATTCTGCTAATAGTGGGTTACTGTTGTCTTGTGCTTAGAATGGATGCAGGAGTACCAGAGTATTTTTTTTTTTTTTTTAGTGTTTTGCTACTCCCCCAGCCATTCCCATCCAGTCTCTCCTCATGCCCTCCCTATTCCCCAGCAGTAGACTACTGGTGCTTATTTCTTGATACAAGGTTTATGGTAGGGGAAAGAGTGTTCTATTATGTTTTCTCACACCCCATCTTTTACAATCTCTGTCCTCCTGGGCCTTAGGTTTTCTCAGAGTTGTTTAGTTCCTTCTTTCCATGGAAGCAAATCTGCCTTGTTAACTCTGATTGGTTTGGGACAGGAGTTTCTACCTTTTTTCTAGTGATTAAAGGCCTTAGATTTATGGGTAGCATTTTGGCTGAAGATGGTTTCCTGTCCCTCTTTCATGGGTAGAGGGTTTTTTCTTCGTCCTTTTCCATAGCTGCAATGGATCTTTGCCTTTTACCTAGGGTTGACAGAGGTTACCCCCCACCCCGACCTGTACTTTATAGCTTTGGCTTTTTTAAAGGAGAGGTATTCTGGAGAATTATGCCTGTGCCCAAAAAGCCGCTAGTTATCTCTTTTACACTCTCATATGTGTACCCCCTAAAGAATTCTTTGTTTATATGCTCTGCTCCCAGTCTTATTCATGAGTAACCAGAATAAGCTTGTGGAAAAGTGCTTGTGAGTGAATGTGAACTTCCTTGAGTCTGGGCCCCTAACTATTCCAAATTGACGTGTTAGCCCACACTTGGCCTTTACTAATTTAAGTTTTAACTGGTTTCCTCTTGCCTGCCTAAATAGTGGCTACCTCTTTCTCCTGTGCTCTGCCAAAGGTGCAACAGTGTGTCCTTGTTACTCTTTGGAGGGGCTTATCACTCTTTGGAATTCAAATTACTTATTTTCCTTATATCCGCAACTCTCTGTTGGGCTCAAGAAAAGTTATGATTTTGTAGTTTAGCCTTTGGTCAGTTTTAGAATGGGAGTGACATTATTTATAGCTTTGTAAATCCTAAGCAGAACTAATTATAGTTTTAAAACATTTTTAGTTTTCCTTATAAAACAATGAAAGTGAAAGTTACATCACTATTTTTAACGAGAGTAAATAATACCTTTTTCTAGGTATCTTTTTTTTTTTCCTTATCCTTTTATTTTTAAAGTAAAACTTGGCCTTGCTTTTATTTGCCCAACCTTACTTTGTAGGATCCTAATATTTCACAGTGATTTTATAGCCAACTAATGTCCAGACTGTTGAACAGATTTGAACGATTAATGAGAGCACTCACCTAGTGTGTTTCCTTTGGTCTGGATTCTTAAGATCACTCCAATTGAGATTGGGTCTCAATGATTTGAATTTCATAGGTTTTGTTTTCACTGTGTAAATCAGATTAACTCCCTTTATTTTGAAACTAAATTTTTGAAAACTAATATAGTAAATATTTTAGAATGTATGATTGAAAATATATTGCAAATAGTAGGTAGAAATTTTATAATTATAATCAAGGAAAGATCTCCATAGACATATATTGTATTAATTGGTTCTTAAATTAATATGTATATCACAAGGCAGAATTGATTGCAACACTTATGATGTGATGTGCCATATAAGATGTTATTCCATTATCAGAAAATTAATTTTTTATTTTTTTATTCTCACTTAATGAATTTTTTTGATACGAAATTGTGTCTATAGATTGTAGTGGGTGTTATTGATTTGAGACCATCAGGAAACCAATTATTCTCATCTGTTTTTTTTGTAGAAAACTTCATCAGCAGTTTGAAATGTACAAGGAACAGGTAAAGAAGATGGGAGAAGAATCACAGCAGCAGCAAGAACAGAAGGGTGATGCTCCAACCTGTGGTATCTGCCACAAAACAAAGTTTGCTGATGGATGTGGCCATAACTGTTCATATTGCCAAACAAAGTTCTGTGCTCGTTGTGGAGGCCGAGTGTCTTTACGCTCAAACAAGGTACAGAAATGAAAATCACACATAATAGTTCTCTTATAGTTAAGCTTATTGTGAGTAAAATGTAGAAAACCACTGAAATTAATATTCAGATTAATTAATAAACAAAAATATTTTCTAGTGTCTTCATTGTAGTTAAAAGAAAATTTAAATTTTTTGAGTTGAAATATATTTGTTTCATTATATATGTCCTTCAGCTTATGATTTTGTTTAGAATCATAGAATCTTAAATTTTCTTGTTTTTCTTTCTTTCTTTCTTTTTTTTTTTTATCCTCACCCAAGGACATTTTTGCATTTATCTTGAGATAGAGCGGGAGGAAGAGAGAGAGAGAAACATCGATGTGAGAGAGACACATTGACTGCCACCCACACGACCCCAACTGGGACTGGGGATGAACCACAACTGAGGTACATGCCCTTAGCGGGAACCAAACCCAGGACTCTGGTCTGCAGGCTGATGACGTTCCAAATGCTGAGCCAAACTGGCCAGGGCAAATCTTAGATTTTCAAAGATGATGAATAGAATTTAGAGATCACATAGTTTAATTCCTTTATTTTATAGGTGCAGAAAACTCAGATCCAGAGAGACTGAAGTTTATTTTTAAAGTCACAGAACTGATTAATATTAGAGTTGTGACACAGCCTTTTTCATTGCCACATATAATTTTATAAACTTTGTACATATACTCTTCCTTTAGAAAGAGGCTCTTTTTTAGCTTTGAGATTCTGTTTCATAATTTTAAAGGGTTTGGAGCAACATTACCTTTATTTTTGTATTAACATTAATGAAATAAATATTAGACTATCGAATTTCAAGAAGAAATGTTAACTAGGTGTTTCACTTATACTAGATTTTTGTAGTTTATCCATCCGTTTTAGAAAAATTTTAATGCTACCCAAAAAATGTTTGTTGAAATTAGCAAAAGCAGTTTTTTATTTTTATTTTTTATTTTTTTATATGAATTTTTATTTATTTTTTTGTTACAGATATTTTAACTTTTTACCCCATTGGCACCCCCACCCCACCCCACCTCCGCCCCGTCCCCGGCTTAGTTGTCCATGTCCATTGGTCATGCATACATGCATATAAGTTCTGTGGTTTATCTCTTCCCACCCCCCCATCCCCTCTTCTGAGGGATGTCAGTCTGTGCCCTATTTCGATGTGTCTGGGTCTACTGTATTCCTCAGACTGTTATGTTCATTATATTCCATATATAAGTGAGATCATGTGGTATTTGTCTTTTTCTGCTTGGCTTCTTTCACTTAGGATAATACTTTCCAGGTCCCTCCATGTCGTCTCAAACGATAAAAGATCTTTCTTTCTTACAGCTGCATAGTACTCCATTGTGTATATGTACCACAGCTTTTTTATCCATTCGTCTACTGGTGGACACTTGGGCTGTTTCCAGATCTTAGCTATTGTAAATAGTGCTGCTATGAACATGGGGGTACATACATTCTTCCTGATTGGTGTTTCAGGCTTCTTAGGGTAAATTCCTAGCAGTGGGATCACTGGGTCAAATGGGAGTTCAATTTTTAATTTTTTGAGGTAGCACCATATTGTTTTCCATAGCGGCTGCACCAGTCTGCATTCCCACCAGCAGTGTATTAGAGTCCCCTTTTCTCCACACCTTCGCCAACACTTGTTGTTTGATGATATGTTGATGGCGGCCATTCTGACAGGTGTGAGGTGATACCTCATTGTTGTTTTAATTTGCATCTCTCTGATGATTAGTGATGTTGAGCATTTCTTCATATGTCTTTTGGCCATTTGTATGTCCTGTTTGGAGAGGTGTCTATTCAGCTCCTCTGCCCATTTTTTAATTGGGTTCTTTGTCTTCCTTTTGTGGAGTTGTATGAGCACTCTATATATATTGGAAATTAACCCCTTATCTGATACACCATTGGCAATGATGTTCTCCCATACAGTGGGTTGCCTTTCCATTTTGATGATTGTTTCTTTTGCTGTGCAGAAGCTTTTTAGTTTGATGTAGTCCCCTGTGTTCATTTTCTCCTTTATTTCTGTTGCCTTAGGTGATGTATCAGTGAAAATTCTGCTCCGTATGATGTCCGAAATTTTGTTGCCTACATTTTCTTCTAGAATTTTTATGGATTCACGGGTCACATTTAAGTCTTTTATCCATTTCGAGTTTATTTTTGTGTATGGTTAAGTTGATGGTCTAGTTTCATTTTTTTGCATGTAGCTGTCCAATTTTCCCAACACCATTCATTAAAGAGGCTGTCTTTACTCCACTGTATGGTCTTGCCACCTTTGTCAAATATTAATTGAACGTATTGCCTTGGGTCCATTTCTGGGTTTTCAGTTCTGTTCCACTGGTCTATATGCCTGTTCTTGTGCCAGTACCAGGCTGTTTTGGTTACAGTCGCTTTGTAGTATAACCTGATATCTGGTATTGTGATCCCACCTACTTTGTTCTTCTTTTTCAAGTTTGCTGTGGCTATTCGGGGTCTTTTTTGGTTCCATATGAACTTTTGAAGTATTTGTTCTAGTTCTATGAAATATGTCGTTGGTATTTTGATGGGGATTGCATTGAATCTATAGATTGCTTTGGGTAGTATGGACATTTTAATGATGTTAATTCTTCCAATCCATGAACAGGGTATGTGCTTCCACTTTTTTATATCTTCCTCTATTTCTTATTTCAATGACCTGTAGTTTTCTGTAAATCGGTCCTTTACTTCTTTGGTTAAGTTTGTTCCTAGGTATCGTAATTTTTTTGGTGCGATGGTAAATGGGATTGTTTTTTCAGTTTCTCTTTCTGTGAGTTCATCATTGGTGTACAAGAATGCCGTCGATTTCTTGATGTTAATTTTGTATCCTGCTACTTTGCCAAATTCATTTATTAAGTCTAGTAGATTTTTGATGGAGTCTTTAGGGTTTTCTATGTACAATATCATGTCATCTGCAAATAATGACAGTTTCACTTCCTCCTTTCCAATTTGTATCCCTTTTAATTTTTCTTCATGTCTGATTGCTGTGGCTAAGACTTCCAGTACAATGTTAAATAAGAGTGGCGAAAGTGGACATCCCTGTCTTGTTCCTGTTCTTAATGGAAATGTTTTTAGTTTCTGTCCATTGAGTATGATGTTGGCTGTAGGTCTTTCATATATGGCCTTTATTATGTCGAGATATGATCCCTCTATTCCTACATTGCTGAGCGTTTTTATCAGAAATGGATGCTGGATTTTGTCGAATGCTTTTTCAGCATCTATTGATATGATCATGTGGTTTTTATTCTTCATTTTGTTTATGTGGTGTATCACGTTTATTGATTTGCGAATATTGTACCAGCCTTGCATCCCTGGAATAAATCCCACTTGGTCATGGTGAATAATTTTTTTGATGTATTTCTGGATCCGATTTGCTAATATTTTGTTCAGGATTTTGGCGTCTATGTTCATCAAGGATATTGGCCTATAGTTTTCTTTCTTTGTAGTGTCTTTTTCTGGTTTTGGAATTAGAATTATGCTGGCTTCATAGAACGTGTTTGGAAGTCTTCCTTCTTCTTGAATTTTTTGAACGAGTTTGCAGAGAATGGGTGTTAGTTCTTTTTTGAATGTTCGGTAAAACTCCCCCGTGAAGCCAACTGGGCCTGGGCTTTTGTTTGCTGGGAGAGTCTTGATTACCTCTTCAATTTCCTTAGTTGTTATTGGTCTGTTCAAGTTTTCTTTCTCTTCCGGGAGTAGGTTTAGGAGACTGTGTGTTTCTAGAAATTTGTCCATTTCGCTTAGATTGTCGAATTTGTTGCCACATAGTTGTTGGTAGTAGTTGTTAATGATCTTTTGTGTTTCCGTGGTGTTGGTTGTTACTTCTCCTCTTTCATTTCTGATTTTGTGTATTTGGGTTCTCTCTCTTTGTTTCTTGGTGAGTCTAGCTAGGGGTCCATCAATCTTGTTTATCTTTTCGAAAAACCAGCTCTTTGTTTCATTGATCCTTTGAATTGTTTTTTTGGTTTCTGTGTCATTTATTTCTGCTCTGATCTTTACTATTTCCTTCCTTCTACTTGCTCTGGGGTTTTCTTTTTGTTTGCTTTCTAATTCTTTAAGTTGTGAGGTTAGACAGTCAATTAGAAATTTTTCTTGTTTTTTGAGGTAGGCCTGTAGTGCTATGAACTTCCCTCTCAGAACTGCTTTCGCTGCATCCCATAGATTTTGTGTTGTTGTGTGTTCATTTTCGTTGGTTTCCAGGAAGTTTTTAATTTCTTCCTTGATCTCCTCGGTGACCCATTCATTGTTTAATAACATGCTATTTAGCCTCCATGTGTTGAAATGTCTTTGCATGTTCTTGTTGCAATTGATTTCTAGTTTCATGCCATTGTGATCTGAGAAGATGCTTGATAAGATTTCAATCTTCTTGAACTTGTAGAGATTTAGTTTGTGTCCTATCATGTGGTCTATCTTTGAGAATGTCCCATGTGCACTTGAGAAGAATGTGTATTCTGTAGTTTTGGGGTATAATTCTCTATAGATATCTATTAAATCCATTTGGTCTAGTGCTTCATTTAGAGTCTCTGTTTCCTTGCTAATTTTTTTCCCTAGAGGATCTATCCAGTGCTGTCAATGGGGTGTTGAAGTCCCCTGCTATGATTGTATTGTTGTCGAATCCTCCAGAAGATTTTTAATATATTTTGGTGCTCCTATAATGGGTGCATATATGTTTATCAAGGTTATATCTTCCTGTTGGATAGATCCTTTCAATATTATGTAGTGGCCGTCTTTGTCTCTAGTTATGGTCTTCGTTTTGAGATCTATTTTATCAGATATGAGAATTGCTACCCCCGCCAAAAGCAGTTTTTTAAAATGTTAGGCTCAATGTCTCCTAGTATCTTATCAATCAGTTTTTTATTTAGATGGTCTTTAAATAGTAAGCTAATATCTTTACATACATTACTTAGGCATAATGGTGGTAATTTTGTTCCTCTGTGATTTCATTTCTCCATTTTCTCATTGGTCCCTTTTTCTCTTTGTTTGTTTGTTGTATT